TAGCGCCAAGTCAAGCGCCACCGAAGGCCCTTGGGCGCTTTGAGTGGCTAGTCTTGGTGAAGTAGGTTCTTTACCAAGCCAGAGGGGCAACGTGTACCTAGTTGTCTAGGAAATGTGCAGTCAACTTGGGCAAAACGAGCCCGATAACTAGCTGACATGGACCAGACACCAGAGTACTTGGCACGAAGCGGGATGGGGACCAGCAATTGATGTAGCTTGAGCCCCCAAGGAGACAAAGCGACCAGGGCAGTCATGTCGATCAGTCCATCAGTCGACGCTTGCGTACCCCATACTTTTTGTTACCCCGCAATCAAGCATGCGCCAGGTGGATATGCCGAGTACCGGCTACACGAAGCGTCGGGCGTTAGTTTGATGTCTCGTGTGGCCCGAGAGCTCCAGGGTCGTCTCAACCGTTCAATTATCATCCCCCTGGAGCAGTGGCATTTGAGTCGGTTTCTTGTTGTTTCGCTTGTCTTCTGTACCGTGTACGTGCTCGTGCAAGGCGATTCGGCGCAAGCAGAGGAGGTCCGCAGGTCAGATGCCGTCGTGATTGCGTGCGTTTGCATGCAGGGGGATGCTCGATTGAGGTGCTGCCGCAAACAGAGCTGCATATCCCGTCAGCGCAACGTGGCCCAATTGATAGTGATACTCTGTGAGCAGGCAATTGGACAATTGAGCAATTGAGCATTGCTGCAATGGCAAGCTCCCCCGTATGACGTGCCACTGAGCTCGTCAACAATGGATGGGACATGGACGAGGGACCATGTCGAACCTGGGAGCTCCAGCTGGCCCAGCCGGCCCAGCAGCTGGCGTCCGGTCACGCGATGGCCTGCTCCATTGCAGCTTAGTGACATGCTCATGTGCCCCACTTCTCTCGGTTTTGTCTCCTGGCTCCTGCCCCCGGCCAAGACTTGTTCGTCACCGTTCACATCGACCTTGGCCTGGGCTGCGTCCTCACCGTGGAGGGCAGGCACGAATGTAATCCCTCGTCGCAAACAGGAGACATGCAAAAAGCACAAGGCCACATCTGTTACTTGGTCCTTGTCGGTTGCAATAGGTAATATCCTGTACCAAGATTGAAGCGTCAAGTGGCCAGTTTACCGTGCCAGTGCCGGGGCAGCGTCTCTGTGAACCTAGGTAGGTACTTTGGCAATGGACATGGACCAAAGTGGACAATGGCATCATGGCAGGAGCAACCGCACCACCATCGTGGCAACTGCATCGCCCCAACCAAAACGGGCCTTGCATCCACCCTCCAGGTGTGCAACAAGTATTGAGACCCCCGTATCAGCGCCGAGTCGGCCTAGACTGACGTGGGAATGTATACTGTCCTCTCTGTGCACTCGTACTTTGCCGTTGACTGTTGACTGGCACAACTGCTCTTCTGCCGTCATCTCTCTCATGACTCCCCATGAGCACTGATTGGTCCCCGCCTGCCCTCGCGTGACTTTGTGATATAATAGTACAGCTTCCCTCGCCTCTCCCATTCCAGGAAGCTTCTTCATCTCTTCAATCTACTCTGTACCATTCCCATCATCCCATCTTCACTTTTCATCAAAGCGAACCCACTCTGAACGACTTTACGCTTGCGACACTCTCCAGCCCTCCAACAACTCTTGACGGTTATTTAAATCCATTTGACACATCTCTCCTCTTCTCCCCCTCTCAGCACCTTCATCACATCATCGCATCACTTCAAGGATTCTCTCATCAGGACCTTCTCTTGATTCATTTCACCAAGCAGATATTCACTGCTTGACTTGACCACACGTTGATACCGTTGATTTTAACACACCAATCTCCAAGAGTGAGTACCTCATTACCTACGAGTCCAAAGCGCAAACACGGTCCTAGTATCACGTACCTCATCTGCATGTGTTGAGCACCTCGACCGGATGCCCATATGCGACTCAAGGCCCCTGAAGTCAAAACAAGGCACTAACAAATTTGCGGCAGTGACTCGCACCGTCAAGGCCAACGACCGTGACCACAAGGGCCTCGCCGAAGGCACCGCAGTTATCCTAGACCAAATGCCACGCTACACCGGCAAGGCTGGCTTCACTGATACCGACCCCAAGAAGGTCAAGAAGAACGGCTGCGGCAGAGGAAACTGGTAGGTTGACTGATGTCTTTATCTGGCCATGTCTTGAGCAACCTGGCTAACATACAACTCAACTACAGGGGCACCTTTACCGACGATGTCATGGGTCAAGACTTCTCCTTTAATAACGCTCGTCGTCGCTCCAACAGCAGCTCTGCCTCTCACCATCTCAACGACTTCAAAACCAAATTTGAAGTCATTGACTCGGAGCCCGTTTTCGAAGAGTCTGTCCACGGACCCGTCAGTGAGGAGGACGATGTCTCCAAGACTGACTCATCTGAGAGCGGCCGGTCCGCTTCTTAAATGAGTACATCTCATGTCGGCCAGTCAGGACCCAGATAGTCATTCGTCCTACTTTTACGGATTGGGGTGCCCGAAACACTTTTTGCAAAGTCGCTATTTCAACACCATGAAATGAAATGAAACCATATAATTATACGAAACATTTGCTTTTTACATATGAAACCGGAAACTGGAGTTTGGAGGAAGAGGTATGTAACAGGATCGGAGTTTGACAAAGGGAGACCCCTCTTCTTGTGGCTATTTGGGACCTTGACGAGCAGCTAATCTGCTGCTCTTGACATCTGCCCGGTGGGCGAAGGATGCATTGTATTATCTATCATATGACGTCTAATGACGCTGGCCAGAATTCTGAGAATGAAAACAGATTCCGCCCTGTATATCAACACTGTGTTCAAGTGAAGCTGTTCCAATGCCGTGACCATTCATGAAATGTGACACCATCCTATCTACCAGATGCTGGCAGACCTCACCTTTTGCCATCATGCTGTCCATCGGGATAAGGCAATGACACAAGTACAGGACCAAGTTGGACGGCATCGACATACAGTCTCCCATCACCCCCAGACCCGAATCTATAATGCAAGGGAAACAAACGGACGCAAGGCCACGCGTAAATGTCAAAACGACGGCTCCTGCGATTGGAGAGGACCCCGCTCGGCGCCACGGTTCACACACTTGCGGGAGGTCACTCAAGTCAGTTCGATGTCCGCCAAACTGCCGATCTGGTCTGGTATGACAACATGGGGGCCAGAGGGGGCCGACTATCATGTACGTGCGTGCTCCCCTTGGCAGCCTGTTCCCCCCCAAAAAGTGCTCATCGCGGCCGTTTGTTTGTCTTTTTACTTGCTTGTACGACGGGCCGGGTTTCCCACTCACCCGATCATGCAGCCCGCAGCGCAACGTCCGTGGCCATTGGCAGGAGGGGGTCGGTTTGTCGGGCTCTGCCAAACGGGCAAAACTGGCCGTTGCAACGTCCCCGATCGAAGCAAGTGCAGAGTTCCGGCCCCATAACGCCAACGGTCTCCCCCCTTCGCCCCGGTTCGTGTGTGGTGTCGATCAAAAGTCCAGAGCTGCTTGACTCTCGAATCTTGAATCTCGAGCCAAGCTCGTTGCAGTCCCGTCCGTTAGTACATTCGTGCATCTGGAAGACCCCTTTGGGTTCCCTTTGGGCAACACTGTTCCAGTCCCCTCTCGCAGATGAATTGTTTTCCCTTGCCAAAAAAACATAAAAAAGCCCCCCTTTCTCAGTAATCAAGAGAAGTAAAAAAGACAAAAGAGCAGTGTCAGACCGACAGCCCCCCCTTCTTCCTTAGCTCCTCCCGTATTGAGGCCCTCAGCTCCTCGACAGCCAGCTCCGTCTCCAGCACCCTGCCCACGCCGGTCCTCCACGTCTCCTCCAGCCCGGCCATCTCGGCGGCCACGTCGGCCTGCCGCCGCCTCCGCGCGTCATTCACCCCGTCCACCTCGCCCTTTGCCCGGGTGAGCTCGGCCTCGGCCCGCCCCAGCGCCGCCTCGAGGTGGTAGTTTGCCAGGAGCCACGCGGGCGCGCCGTGCCTCTCCAGCAGCTCCAGGTTCTGCAGCCGCCCGCGCAGGTACGCCGCCGACGTGTACGCGCGGCCGAATGTCTGTTTGCAAATCAGTCAGCTTGCTTTGTATTTCTGGCTTTTTGGAAAAAGGGAAGAGGGGGGAGGCGTACACGGGAGGGATTCGTGGAACGCAGGTGCCGCCATCGTCGTGGTGTTGTTCTTCTTCGTAGGGAAAGCAAAGAGAGTCGGGGAGATGGAAATTTTTGAGCCCTGCAGCCTTGTGCCAACGAGCTATCGCAGGGCACCTCACAATTTTCTTACATAATCGGGCCTCCACAAGCCGTTCCGCAGCTAAGCTGTGCGACACAAGCCAATCGTGTCCCAAGTCCCGCTTGACTGTTGTGCACGGACCAAGTTCGAGCTCACCCTTGTCACTAGTGGAGTTGCGCAAGGACCCTGACACTTCGGGGGGACGGGAAACCCTCGGTGGTATCACGGCGAAGCCAAGCTCCAGACAGGGATATTTACAAGTTGCACATGTTGGAATACGCATCAATAGGGCATGCCGGCGTTTGTATTTTCGAACCAACAGATTCGCATTTGATCTCGCTTTATCCCTTTCCATAGTATGTCACCGGTGATCAAACAAACAAGCATTGGCAGATATATACCTCCATGTTTGCAGAAATATGGCAGCATGCACCTTGTAGACCATCATTAAACGTCTCACAGCATGGCAGTACGACTCTCGAATCAGCTCGGTAGTCATAATTCACTATCAAACAAGGTATCTATCTGTTCATGTAGCCATGGCTCTTTCTTCCTTTAGGAAAATGAGGTTAAAGGCGTGTAATTCCTCTCCAAAACAGGCAAACGCCGACTCGAAACTCGTTTCTTCCATCATTCGGCCAATTCATGCAGTATTGTACCAGGGCATCGCCGTCTCCTCCATGCCCACCTAGCCAAACCTTGGCAGAGCCTATTTTGGCCATCTTGAAGTCATGGCCGAATTTTCAGTCGTCCACCGCATCAAAGCCCACACGGCATCATTTCAAGCTTGTAGCAGTGCCCTAGTCGCGGTGCAGAGGGTCCATTTCCTCGACTCCAGTGGCGACACCTTCGTATCTGGTACGGCGCAGAATACCCTCTACAGGACCCAGGAGTCTCTGGAAAGCATTCTTGCCAAGCGTTGCCACCTTGACCTCCGTCGAAGCCATAACGCTGGCAGCTCGAGGCTGATCATTGAGCAGGGCCAATTCACCAAAAAAGTCCCCCTTCTTATAATGCAGCACCTTGTTGCTTTGGTCACCCTTGAAGGCGTCTGCCTCGCCGCTCTCTAGCAAGAAGAATGAATGACCTGGGTCCCCTTCCCTAATGATGATCTCGCCCGGGGCATACTTCTTGGTTTCGAGGGCATCAGCAATCTTGGACCGCTCATACGGCGTTAATGATGACAGGAGTGGAACCTCCTCCAAGAAGGTCTCGTACATTCGCCTCCTGGCAAAGGTCGACTCCATTAGTATGCGGCGGAATGTGATGCGGTCCAAGGCCCATAGCGTGCAGTTGGGTTCAACGGAAATGACTGTGGCAGCACGTGGGGCGTTGTACATGAGGGCGAGTTCACCAAATGATCCTCCGGCCTGGATATTCCCAACCTGCTCACCCAAGCCGTCCGGCCCAGGCTGGATGGTCCCACTGGGGTTGACGTGGACATCGAATGATCCCTTCTCCACGACGTAGAAGAAGTCGCCAGCATCACCTTGGCTGATGACCTATCAGATGTTAGCGTCTCATTCCCACTCATTGCCTCTGGCATTGTGGCTCACCTTGATACCCTTGGCAGGAATTGGCTTTTCAACCAACGCGCCGAGGATCTGGGCAGTTTGCTCTTCGTCGAGATGGCTGAACAAGAAGTTGCCCTCGATAGCCCTTTTGAGACGCCCCAACTGGTCGGCAGTCTTTTCATGAAAAGGGGGCGACCAGTTGTCGTAGCTGTCTGCACTGGGCTTTAGCGACTCAGCCGACACCGAGGTGCGACGAGCAAAGTTGTATTGGGCAGGATAGCTGTCTGGGTGTGGAGGGCCTCGGACAGTTGGAGGTGTATCTGTGCTGGCATCGCCACCAAAGGTTCCGGCAAAGCTGATGCCAGCACCCGGGCCGATCCCTGTGGTTTGGTTCCTGCCATTCTCATTCTCATCTTCCTCGGCCAGGCTGTGCATAACATTCTGTGACCGATCGTTGCCAAAGGGGTTTGCATTGGCCCCGAACGGGCTCGAAAAAGGAACAGACATTATGGCTAGTATGAATACTGCAGGTACAGGATCGATGGTGGTTCTTCGTTTGTAGGCTTGGTAGAAGATATTGGAGAGCGAAGCTCGGAGCGAGTTTGATTTGCCGGCCGGCAATAACGATGGCCTGTCGGGACTCTAGTCAATTACGGAACATGATTTGACAAATCAATCTGGCTGCGTCTCGAGGAGCTGTGGCAGCAAGGGCATTTCTCATCGATGGCACGATGAGACAGGCGTGAAAGAGGGGACTGCAGACCAACCAACCTTGATTATGTAGGAGGAGCTGGATAAACAAACCAGTCTCGGCCCAATGTGAGGGTAAAGACCTGCATAACAGCGATGCGTTAGCATACGGGTATGACCTTCTGATCATGTAACATCGATGGGGGGAGTTGGGGGCCATGTGACTAGTACGAGCTGGGCAACGCCGTGGAAGCTTTTGGAGCTTGCACAAAGTCAAACCATGCTGGCAGAGTCATGGCTTTGGGCTTCTGGTGTCGGGCGTAAGCAGGAGAGATGAATCCGACTGTCCTCTTGGCAGAGAAAAGCTCTGAATCAACGGAGCGGCGCAAAGAAACGTCATTGTGTTACCTGGCACCACGAAGCTGGCACGCCAATGCCATGGCGGGAAGCTGGAGAACAGAGGGAATGGCCGTCAACTCACCTTGGGGAGGAAATCAAGCAGCTGGTGACAGTCAGGACCGAGGGCGGGGATAATCCAAACTAAGCCAAGGTCAAGGGAGATGGGGAGCTGAGGAAAATGGAGCAGAGAAGCAGAGACGAGAGATGGAAGAGGAGGAGGGGTCGTTGCAGTTGCCACTGGGGCCTCGGGGAGAACCCTGCGGTGGCCGGTGTTGCTGTGCAGGACGATGCGACCACTCAGCCAGCCGACACCAGCCCGGATGAGATGGGATGGGGATGGGGATGGGGGAAGAGGGAGGTGGGAAGAGGGATGGAGGGGGGCTTGAGCTCCAGGTCGAGAGGGAAGACGAAACGCAACACGACGCCGATGGATGAGCCTCTTGCCTCAGACTCCAACGCAGGTGTTTTTCGGCGGCGGAGCGATGCCAACGTCTGGTTGAAAAGTCGGCTTGAAACAGGGAGGGGCAAGTTGCGGGTGCGCGGGTTGATGGATGAGCGACGCAACGCGATGCTTTCCAAGCGGGTCGAGGAGGAGGAGCAAGAAGAAGGAAAAGAAGAAAGGACAAGGTCTCAGGTGCCCCGAGTGGATACGGCCAGGGAAGCTGGGAAGCTTGTCAATCTGCCTGTGCAAATGCTCCGGAAAAGGCGCGCCACCAGCACGTTGGACATGGAAAACCTCGAGCAGCTCGCACAGGCAGCTATGGGCAAGCAGGCAGGCTGGCAATGGAGGGGTCTCTCTCAGGGCCTGAAGGAGGGGAACATGACGGGCAAGAGGCTCGCAGCGAAGCTTTCTAGAAGAGCGCACGGACCACACGTCCCGCGCCTCCACTGCATTTGTCAACCAGCAGGAGCTTCTCCCGGCCGAGCTTCCTGCTCCCTGGGCTCGCGGCGTCCTGGAGCTCCAGAACGGGTCTGGAAGCGGACATGGACAGCTCCTGCCTTCCGTGCATGCGTGCAGGTGTCATGCTGCCTTGCGTCCGACGCTCCCACCGACTCTTCACGCCGCTTTGCGTCGCACAACCGACTGACACAAAGCCACACAAGTGATGCAGAGAGCTGCGCATTGTCGTCGGTAGCGTCGGCAATTGCCTAATTTTTTTTTTTTTTTTTTCGTTTTTTTTTTATTTTTTCCGTCCTTGAATCGCCAGCGAAGAAATCCGCGCAAGAACAAGCTATATACCCACTGCATGCGAACCGAGCGAACGCTCCAGTCAACTGACTTGATGTAGACGATGCGTAAAGAGAGGCGATACTATTACTACTACGGCTCTTCTCATCAGACCTGCATTTGCCCATCGTAGCGAGCAAAGTGCAGCCACTACCAGACGGGTAACGGAGAAGAAATAGAATACGCAAATAATCCCATGTACATATAACCATCGTAAAGGCCAACACAAGGCGCAGCGAGATACACACATGGTGCCAAAGCTCAAGGATGGACAAGAGCCAACCGTGTTGCTGGAAGAGTAGCCAACTTTTAAAACCCCGCGGCAACGTAGTCGGAGAAGGCAGCTGAAAAATACGAGCAGCACAGCTGCAGACCAGGAATTTTATACGTTGAAGACTACCGTGCTAGCCAACATCATCTCGACTGAGAAACTACCCAGTCGGCCTCATCCAATCCCAGTGCGAATGATGCCGTGCCTTAAGCATATCCATCTCGGAGAACGGACAAAAGTCTACTCAGGCGTCAAGGTCTCCCACCTGACAGCGCCTTTCTTCCCTCACGGAAGCCTAGGAGCCATGCTCTCAACTATCCAAATCGACACGCCGGCTCTACATCGTGGCCAAGACCACCTAGAATACAGTACACGGGGCGTGAGCAGCGTCCAGGACAGGTAGTGTCGTGACAACAAGGCAAGTCTATTCTGATACATCTCCCAAGTAGTTTGTCTGGGCATCGGCCCTAATGGGGCGACTCGCCAGCTTCGAGACATGACTATTGTTGTACGCAGTTCCCTCTGCGGTTATACACCAGCTGGGCCCCATGGAGCCTCATGGGTATCGTCCCATACAAATACAAGCATTCGAGCACCGCCTCCTCTTCTACAAGCAGGATGAACCCCCTCAACTGCACCATTTTGCTCCGCGACGCCAGAATCCCTCTCACCTGTTACAACTGGAAGACACCGACGCCAAGCCAAGCCAACCAAGACATATTCAAAAAATAAAGTTGAAACAAAAGCAATAACAAAAAAGCACCGGGTATGACGTCCGTCCGCAATGCGCCAAAAGTCAGTGATGCTGATGCCAAGCTCATTCTACACCGCGCCCCCTTTTCCCAATAGCCTGCGACGTTAGCTCAATGTTACAGAACGCTACAACACTTTTAGTCCGACTCGAACTTGTATTCTGGTGAAGACTCTTCCTTCTTCACCTCTGACACGGGCGATTTCATTTTGTCGTACTTGTGCGCCGTCTTTGCCGTGGCACCAGCCTATGATCCCACGGCAAGACAAGAGTCCAGCATCCCATCCAGCATATCCATATCGCCGGTCTCTGCTCCGTCCCACCATGTTTCCTGGTCCAAGTCCATGGCGTCTCCGTACCCGTTGATGGTGGGTTTGGCGTCATAACCATCTACAAGTTCCTCAACCGCGGGAGGCTCGTGATAATACCACGTATAGTCGTCCCACTGTTCGAGTTCGCCCTCGCGATACCCATAAATGACTTGCGTCGACAGAATAGGGAACTGGGCCATGCCTGTATCGGCCATTTCGAGGGCCAGTCTCAAGTCGGCCATGCCCAACGGCCCGCGTTCATTGGCGGCTTTTGCCTCAACAGGAAGCAATCCACCTTTATCACGCGTGATTTCTCCACGAATAGCCGCCTCTTCCTCTCGATGAAGCTGTTTCTTGTACTTGTGCGTCTGAATCCATGTCATGCCGATGCCGTAGCCCGCGTTGCCCGAGTCGCCGGCACCATTACTGCGCGTGCGGCTGAATATTTGGGTTAATACTTCTTTGATAAAGGTCTCTGTAGCCACTGTTACTAGTTGTGGCGCGTCTGATGCGTGACCGCTGGGAAGCCCTGCCTCGTAGCAGAACGGCAACATGCGCCCACTTATAACGCCAACATCCGGGAACTCCCCAGACTCAATAGCCAGAGGTTGCGCAAATCGTTTTCTAATTTCCAAGTCAAAGTCTACCATCAGTCAGAATGCTGTATCGACACTTTTGAATGGGTACAAGTACTGACTCATATTGTTAATACCAGTTGCAGTGGTTGGAATGGGCTCGACGGATGTGGATGATTTGCGGTGCGTGTCCGCAAAGAGATTTGATAAGCTCTCATGGGGATCATACTAAAGAGGTACGTCAGTGTAAAGAAAACTAAATGAGTGGCGTAAGTCGGTAGTTACATCGTTGTGTGCAAGGTCCTTTATGCGCCTGCGATCTCGGGGTGGTAATTGCATCACCTCCCCCTTCAACCTTCTTTCGGCAGCATCACCTGTGACAGGCTTACTGCCAGCGCCAGGCATAGGCTTGTCGTTTGCGCTAACCCAAGGCGCCAGGCCCTGGTCGGGCATCTCTCGTGTGACATTGCCGAGTATGGCGGCAATGAGCTGGTTATGAAGATGGTCCCTCTCACCATTGTTGTCGGCTAGGATGGGGTCTATTCGTTCCGAGTATTCGGCTTGGCTGAGACGGCCTTGTACAGTGTAAGCAACACCCTGCGCATCACAATATCGAGACATAACGATGCCCTACCAGTCAAGAATTCGGTCGTCGACTCCTTATACACGAGCCATTTCTCTCCGCCGATGGCGCCCTTGAGCGCGGAATACACCGGTTCAAGGTCAATGCGGGCAGGAATGATTTGGCTGGTTTTCACAGGCTTTCCGGAGCCAGGCGCAGTGATGGACAGAGTTTTGTTCGATAGAGTCGGGGTCGACAGGCTGACGGCCGGACGGCTCAGGGCCGCGGGGTCGATGTCGGGCATAGTGGAGGCAGGATCACGGTCGACGTCCTCAACGTCGCGTGCGGCGAGATTGCAACGCGCGACGCGGAGAACGGGTCATGAGTTGCATCAATCGAATGCGGAGGGTTATGCGATCGCGGCACCAGAGTCACCTTGATGACCAGAGCATGGTGAGGTTGCAAAGTTGATGGCGGAGGACGGGCAGAATCGACGTTAGGGAGAGAGCAGCAGACGGATGGGAGTCGAAATTTTGCCGGGAAACAGACAATGAGCAGGCGCGGACTGGCCGGCGATGATGCCGTGTCGCGGGTACTTGAGCGCCGCGGGGGGGCTCTTTCATCTGCCAGTACCCCATACATGAGGGGCTGGCCTCTTCCGTCGCCCCCATGGACACAGGTCCCCCTGGCACTAAACACAAGCTGGAGCACCACCGTGCCAAAGCCTTGGAAGTTGGCCTTTGACGCTGTGCCCAGTTGAGCCAGCGGCACTGGGGCGATGGCGCCCTCGTCGCGTCTAGCGCGTCACCATCTCTGCCTCAAAGATCCAAGCCCTCAATCCGCCCCAAAATACTGCCATCATCTCCAGCATCAGCTCATCCCTCGTGCGGCCATGCAGCAATGGCGTCGGAACGCATCATCGGGGCACTCGAGCACCTAATAGCCCACATCGTCCCGCAAGACCCCGACGAAGATGCAGATACCGCCCAGGACCGGCACGATGCCATCTTGAAGAATGCGATGTCCATTATCGACAGGTGCGCTGCTGCCTCCTCTTCCGTCGCCCAACGAGCCCTTGCTAACAACCTGTCTCAGCCCTCAAGGTCCATCTATTTCCGCCGACGTAAACCATGCTTCGGACCTCATCAAGCGGAGGCTGATTCAGACAAACCCCGGTCTGGCATTGACGTTTTCAAATCTATACTCGCGGTTACTCGCACTTCCTGTGCTCGACAACAAATGGGCCATCCTGTATCTCCTCTACCAACTGGCCGACTCACCAGACCCAAATGAACCTCTACCCCTCAGCCCGATCAAGCCCTCCGCACCAAATTACCGAGAGGCAATCCAGAGAGATGCCGCCAAAAGACAAGGTCGAGACCGAACCAAGGCCGCAACTCCCGTCCCCAGGGGGGAGGAAGAGCAGTTCCGAGATGCTTTGCAACCAGAGGGGTTGAAGCATGTCCCCGCGCCAAAACCAGGCCTCGCTGGGAAAGAACACCCCAAGAGGGCCGTTTCCTTGCAATCAACTTTACTCGCCAACAACTACACCGAGGTTGATCCTCCCGAGGCCGACATCCTGCGAGATCTGCCCTTTACCCTCCAAGGACTCTCGTCAACGACACTTCCCTTCTCCAAACCGGAAACACTCAGATTGCCTCCCACTGTGCCATTGCCTCTCGTGTCTATTCTCCACACCCTTGCCGAGCCATCCCTCCTATATCGAGGTCTTGACGAGTACTGCAACACCCCAGCTACAGGTCTACTGGGGCAAAGTTTGCGGTCCGCTATTGGGAGCGAACTTCGATCCTACCTCAGCCTTGTAGCAGCCTTAGAAAGCCAGATCCGACAAGCTCTGTCGTCACTTGATGAAAGCGAACCTCGTGGTGGAGCTGGAAAAGCTGGCGTCACATTGAAAAGATGCGTGGTGTGGACGCGAGAAGCAACAATGGGCCTACGGCTAATGAGCGTCATGGCCAAGGAGTCGGAGGATAAAACTGGTGGGCAACTGATCTCTCTCATTCACAGTTTCTCGTCATCGCACGGCGATCCAGTGGTTGCCGCCTTTGCAGAGAGGCTACTAGGCAGCTTCACAAGGCCGTTTTATGATATACTGCGGCACTGGATATACGACGGGGAGTTGTCAGACCCGTACCAGGAGTTCTTCGTCCAAGAGCAGAACAAACCCGCCGACGTTGCCCACTTGAAGGGAGCCGGCAATGTCTGGACAGACAAGTATGAGATCCATCAAAGCATGGTCCCCAGCATCATTACACAGGACTTCTCCCAAAAGGTGTTCCTCATCGGAAAGTCTCTCAACTTTATTCGACACAGCTGCGGCGACTCGGTATGGGTCGAGGAATACTCCAAGGCGGCGTCAAAGGAACTTCGATACGGCGACACGGCGACACTGGAAGCTTGGATCGACGAGGCATACAAGACCACCATGCAGCGCCTCATGGATCTAATGTCCAGCAAGTTCCATCTCTTTGAGCACCTACAAGCTCTCAAAAACTACATCCTCCTCGGCCAAGGGGATTTCATAGCTCTCCTCATGGAGTCTCTCGCTGCAAATCTAGACCTGCCCGTCAGCGCCCAATATCGACACACGCTCACAGCCCAACTGGAACACGCAATCCGCGGGTCCAACGCGCAATACGACTCCCCCGAGGTTCTCCGCCGCCTCGATGCAAGAGTGCTTCAACTCTCCGAAAACGACATGGGTTGGGATTGTTTCACTCTGGAATACAAAATCGACGCCCCCGTTGATGTCGTCGTGACGCAGTGGGGCAATCGCCAATACCTCAAAGTGTTTAATTACCTCTGGCGCATCAAGCGTGTCGAATTCGCCCTCCTCACCACCTGGCGCAGGTGCATGACCGGCTCGCGCGGTGTTCTACAAAACTCTGACCCTGTCGTCTCGCAGACATGGAAATCCACCCGCGGCACTCTCGCTGAAATGACCCATTTCGTCGGCCAACTCCAGTACTACATCCTCTTTGAAGTGATTGAATCATCGTGGGATGAGCTCCAGAAGCGCATCCATAAGGAAGGCTGCACCTTGGATGACCTCATCAACGCCCACCAACGGTACCTCACCGACATTACGCACAAGGGTTTGCTCGGTGCAAAACGCCGAAACCAAGGCTCAGAAGACGGCGATGACGAGTCTTCATACCGCGGACAACTCAGCTTTCTGCTCGAGTTGATGCTAGACTACCGGAAGTCGGTAGATGGGCTATACAGCTGGAGTGTCTCTGACTTTACGCGCCGCCAGGAAGCAGATGTACGCATTTCCATGCGATCTGATTTCGACGACAACATGGGCGGTCAAAAGGATGTACCATCCGAGTTTCCCAAGTTGAGGAAGAGACTGCAGCAGTTGGGTGCCTCGTTTAGTAGTAGACTGCAGATGCTACTTGGTGACTTGGCCTACCAGCCAGATGTGGATATGAGATTTTTGGGAGTAGCTATGAACTTTAATGATGTGTATCAGCCCACGAGGAGGAAGACGAGGACTACGACTGCTACTTCGGCGAATACGTCCAAGGCATGAGGGGCCTTTATTGCTATGAAATGTGCAGTGGTGCCTCATGTGCAGAAAAGGTGCTGGCGTATTTATGGCCCTACTAAGGACGAAGTAACGATGTAATGAACCAGTCGAAGATGATTTGTGCGTATCCAAAAGCGTGCTCATCGATGATGATGTTTTTGAACAATGGGATCGCGTCATTTTGCCCACTGTGCTAGCGACGCATCATATGGAGTTTTGAGCTGAACAAAAAGCATGTTGTCTTACTCTCCATGTCTTTCGACGCACCGATCACCAAAGGCGATCTGGGGCTCACCTCCGGCATGTGTTGTTACTATTGATCCCAGTGGCTTGTTACGAGCGCACGTTTCCTCTCGCAATTCGACCTTGTTTGGTCCATGATTCACTACTCATGTCCCTGTTCTGCTAAACTTGAAGCTTGCGGCATGGCACTAGTGGAGGTCCATTCTTTACAGGCATTGCAGAGATGTACCTTTGGTGTACCATCGGAGTCAACTTTGCGAAGGAATTGACTACTAACCAGGTAGCTGTGCGAAATGGCCCCGTCCACGAGATTGTACATACAGTGCTTAAAGTTCCTCTCAAGCGATGCATGGATTAGGTACGCGTCAGCGGCCCCTGTTTCACCAGCTTGGATTGGCTGCGACAAAGGCCGGCGTGAGAGAATAGAATTTGTACTTTTCATGCCTTTCTTCGGTGATGTAGGTGTGTTTGCGGGTGTGGCCGAGTATCCGCAATCAATGGTCTTTCTGAAAGCAAAGGAGGCCTGGGAAGTGTTGGCCATGAGGCTATGCGGATCTCTTGGCATTTCGCCATGACGACGAAATCATATGCTCAACATGGCATTTTTGTAGCCCCCCCGCATTTCGATGCTGATGCCTCTGATGAGGTCGTTATACTAGGCGAGGCGCAAGCGAGGCGACTCATGTTATGTTATATCTCGTTGGAACTACTGAGAATGCATGCGTCGAGAGTCATGCTTGCTTGGGTGTTGGCGAGTCTATCGTGATCGATCGTCGATGAAGGGAATTGACATTATGCCCTCTAGGGCATAGATCATCCCGGGATAAGTGAAGTTACCCCTATTTCGAGGCTGGTCCAGTGGATGTGATGCCCTGACAACGGAGCATTTTTATGCAGAGTCAGGGGTCGTGGAACATTCTTTCCTTCGTTTTGCTGCCCAACCTGGAAGCTTTGCTAATACGAGACAATGACAGGGTTTCAAAGACAAGAGATGAAAATCCAGGAACCCGGCTCGGGTTTCACTTGTTGGTATTCGTGGCATTGAGGTTTACCCTCGTCCCCTGTTTTAAATGATAGAGCTTTGCGTTGTTAGACGGCCTTCATTCGCTTGTTGACATGGCTGCGTAAAATCCCCACAAGCCGGGGAAGCAGACGAGAGATTCCGTCCGCCCAAGCATCGGCCTAGTGTCGCTCATCGCCTGTTGCCGCATGATTCTGCGAAGAATTTTCATCTTTGACGACTCATCTGCCCTGAGAATTCCCGTCGCATCGTTCTCCTGGCAGCACTAGTATCGAGTCCGATGTGCCGCGATGTGGTTTCCAGAGAACGAAAACTTGATCAATCCAGCGTCGAACGCACGCAAATTTCGAACTGGATATTGCACTAAATTCATTCTCAAACAGGTATTGATCAACTGCCGATGAAGAAAGTGCCGGGGGGGCTTTGTCGATCGGAACAACACGGTAGGGCTCGCGTCATTGACTGTACAAGACGGAGATAGAACCTGCCCAAATCAGTACGTACAGTACTCCGTAGACATAATATTATGATAGCCGTATTAGAAACAAACTTCCACCTCCCAATGTTGCCATAGCCCACACACAAGCCCATTCTCACGTGTTGACAGCGCCCATCCATGAACCCGCCTCGGAACGGGCCAAACAGCTGCCGCAAGCTCCGTATCCGCCCGCCCTCGGCGCATCAGATCATTACTCGGCGCAAACTGTTGTTGTCAAGCGGGATGATTGATCATCAGTCCCCGAATCGACCTACTATCGAGTTCCCAACTTGTTGTCTATTGATGTGTTGGGACGTCATCGAAACAGCGGCGTTGCTGGGTCCGACTCCCAGCGAAGCACGACTTCTTCCAGCATTTAGACATGCATGGGCTCATAGTCTTCCGAGTCTGTATTCCTCGCCAGAAAGACACGGGGCAACATGGCGACGATGAAAAAAAGTCCGGGGTAAAGAGACAATGGTTTGATACCCACACCCCCCACGACGGGCTTTGTATTGTACGGAAGCGCATGTGCTGCTTTAATCAAGGAAACGGTCTCCAAAACCTTTCCATGGCCTAGATGGTCCTCCTCCTCGCTTGGTGCACCTTGGTTAAGGAAAGCACCGTTGTCTGGCGCCGTCCGACTTGTTTTTACCCGTAGGGACAAATGTAGAGACACTCCGCGGCGATTGGGCTCTGTGGTGCAAGGATACCTAGTCGCACAAGGCCAGCGAGCCCCAGACACCAAAGCGCATTGCTAGAAATAACAGTGCATTGGCCCCTTTCTGTTACGTACGACGTGGTGTTTTTTGTGCCTGACCCAAGGCGTGCCGTCTTGCCGTCACCATGCCACACCCACACATCTAGCACCCTGGCCATGTCTCCAATGCAAGCTCTTTCTTTCCCCGGACTTTTTTTTTTGGAAGATTCCGGATTCTGGAATGTTTGCTTGGCCCATTTCTTCGTGGGGTAATCAATAAGCCACGGCCGTTGTGTCTTATTTCTTGATCCTCCTTTTTTGAATAGAAAGCGGCGGCACCCTGTTTACCGTCGAGCAACTCGTAATGTGAGGCTGGAGACGAAATAACGAATAATGCACATCTACTGTGGCATTGCGGCTCGCCCATGCCAAGGTCCGTGGCCCTGTGTTGGTGGAAATCTGATTCAACAGACACGACAAAGTTCAATCTTTGAATAGGGAACCAAGCAAGTGAGACCGGGCCAATGTTGCTCCAACACATTTCCGGGGGCACGTCCCTGGGGGCGAGAGTAATAAGAAAGGATGGTTCTAGGGCCAGTTGGCTTCTGATGTGGGCGACTCTGCCTGGTCTGAGTGGTCTCTGAATAATGATTCCTGCGTGTGCCCCAGCTGAGCCGCCGCTGCGATGAGTCAAGGCGTGTGCGAGGTACCTCCCTCAGGCAGATAGATGGTGCGTTTGGATGCGTGTCCATGGCAGCGGGAGCCAATATCTGCATTCGCGTTCCTTTGCAACGAGCTCCCAACAACTTCTTGCCTTGTTGCTCCGCCCATGTCCTGCACTCCGTACCCCGTTGACGGGTCAGAGTTGTTGGGTCCCAATCATGACGTCTGGATGTCGTCGCGGACGCGGTAGTAAGGCAGCCAGGAAAAAGGGATGCGTACCTGCATGGCTGCGCGCCAGCATGCCCGACTGTTTGGCAGGCTCCAACGTCCGGTTTGGCGCAGACGCCTTGTAATGCATCTTTCATCTGCTGAAGGCAACGTGTCGTGTGCTTGCAACCCCAGATTGCAGGTGCTTATGCTAAACGAAGAGGTCGGCCTCCTTAGGCCCCGACTGGCTCAACGAGCTGCTTCTTTAGGATCGGGTTGAAGGGGCCTTTGGGGTCTTTTCCCCCAGGCAGTGGCTGATGTAATCTTTATCTTTTTCTTGGGGGGTCCGCAGGTTTGAGATGGGATTATTTTTTGAGAGTTGGGGGCTGATGCTCCTGCTGATGCTCCTACTGGTGCTGAAAGCTGACTCGGGTGTGTTTGACGGACTCTATTGTCCTGACCAACATTGGAGCCAAAGGCAAAAGGCTCCAGATGTCCCATTGAAGCCTGGTTGCACCTGCCTTGGCAGGACCCCAAGCTCGCACACAGGCCGTGTACCAAGTTCCAATCCGGCCGTGATGGCTTCATGCACAAGCGTTACTCCTTGGTCACTCATGTTCTCTCCTCTGCACCGGGGAGACTAAAGGCGCAGGAATGCAATCTACGATGCTAGCTTCGTTTCGTTGCTTTCAGGCACAGCAGAGAGCGCCCCGGCGTCAGAATGCACTGCAGCCAGTGTCTCGCAGCAGGCACACGTATGTGCTGTGTGCTCCGTACGCGAGATACTTCTCGGTAGGCATGTACAATGCGCACAGGTGCCGTACCCCGTATTGTGCTCCAAGTACGCGGCACAATTCATCTGGGCTCTGGGCAGTCGGGGCAGGCCGGCCGGCTGGTTACATGTGAGGCATGCTGCCACGCCGGCTACATGTTGGCATGTCAAGCTCGACATTGGACTTTGGAGCTCTTTGAGGCAACAGCAGCGCTGACTCCTGCCGGGCACCCACCAAGCCACTAGGCACACGCCCTTGGTTGGCCCCGTTTGTCCGCTTTTCAGCCCCGTTCCTGTCGCTTTGCCCCTTCAACGCTCCTTCCCATTGACCCCAGGTGCCCATGAGCATGAACTCCCCACCCCCAACCTGACAGAGTCTTCACTCCCCGCCCGTCCACGCCGACCATTGAACCTCTCGGCTCGAGGCTCCCAAATCCCTATTCCCTTTCCCCGGTGTCATGGCTCGTTTGTTGCCCCCGTCCTGGCCCTGCACGCCATTGTCTGGCAGACAAGCATCTCTTTTCATTGTCTTTTTTTCTTTTGACATAAATTCACCACTCCCCGGGCCCGGCTTGTCTGGTTTTGCTGCCTCCATTGAGTCCATCCACACTTATACCAAAACTCTCGCCTCTCTGCTTCCAACTCGCACCTTCTCTCTGCCTGCGTTGCATCAACACAAGTCCTGATAAACATTCCGCTCCATATTTCCACTTGGTCGGCGTCGATCAACAAAGTTGTTGGCCCACAGAATACACACCTGTCACGTATCTATCCTGCTCTATCATTAGAGCTGCTTGGATTCACAGTCTCGGTTCCCAGTTTTCCGCCAACTCTACCCACAAATTACGCAAGCTCGTCGTGTTCAACTCGTCGGTTTACGTGGAGCGCAACAAAGCTGCAATTTACAGTATGCGTTCCG